TCTCGTACTTTCCTTGGTCTTGCAGCACCGTAGCCAGGTTGCCGACACTTGTTAGAGTGTCCGGGTGGTCTGGCCCAAGAATCCTCCACCGTCCCTCCAGTGCGCGCGCCCCGATTCAATTCTTCTGATTCGTTGTACTTTCCGCGACCTCGTAATACAATACCCAGGTAGTCGACAGCCTCAAGGACCATGGGATTGTTTCGACCCAATGATACCTCAATATCCTCTAACAAGTCCCGCAATATCTTCTCGGCTACTTCTGCCTTTCCTTGATATGCACTTACAGCCCCCAGGAGTATAACCCTTCTCTGACCCTCCCCATCCCAGCCATACTCTTTGCCCTCATCCCGAAGTGCAATACATCGACGGAATTGATTTTCTGCATCATTGTAGAAACCCATATCTCGAAAGTACTGTCCCAGGCGAAAACAAAGCTCTTCGGCAATGGGGCCCGTTGAATCTCTGGTAACAGCGAGTACATGTGGACTGTATGCAGATCCTATACATCTCCACTGGTTCTCATCGTGAGGGAATAGCCTTGAAACCACCCCCAGCGCAGTGGCCCTCCATCGATTCGACTCCTCTGTTGGTAAATACACCTGTAATGACAGTTGGACCAAACGGTGAAGCTCGTAGAATGTCTTGTCCTGGTATTTGAAAGTCGTAACTAGCGAAAATCCCAATAGTTTTCCTATGGCCTGGCGAAACTCAATTGGATCATCCATCCCTGCCAAACCGCATCGACCTAGTAGTTCTTCGAGAATTTTCTGATTATCAAAGAACGCAATCAGTCGCAGGAGGTCGGCCGCTCGGGGCATCTGCAGTGTGATTCGGTTAAAGGTGATGAAGTACGTAGCTAGGATGCTTTCGGTCATGTCGGCCTCTCTTTGGATATCACAAAATGGTTGCGAAAGTAGTTTCTTCGCATGTTCGTCGCTTCCCTGGAAAATAGCCCAGTAAGTGGAAGGTGGTGTCTGTGTTTCGGTCATGAAAGCTGCTGCACCTACGATAGCCAGCGGGATGTGATGTACGGAGCCCAGGATCATCGTGACCGCCCCTTTGTCTTCCTCAGTCAAGCTACTCGAACTACCAAATCGCTTCGAAAATAAAGCTCGGGCTTCATCCTCCTCCATTCTTCCGACATCGATCGTTTCACAATCCTGCCAGGACGCAACCCGGAGAGATCTAGTTGTGAATATTAGAGTACCCCTTTGGCCTTGTGGTACAAATTTGGAGATAGGACCGCAGTTGCCAATAAAGTCCTCCTCGTCGTCGGCGTTGTCAATAACCAGTACCCAATCGCCACTATCCGGACCTTCAAACCACCTCTTTATACTCGCCAGGAGTTGCTCTTGTTCCGTCTCGGCGGTGGGTAGAGGAATTTGAACATATTGTGCAATCGCTCTGAACCCCTCAATAAACTTTAAGACACCACTCCCTTGGACCCAGAAAATACCACAATCGCTCTCGCTTGCACGCTGATAAACATATTCGAGTGCAATCTGAGTTTTCCTAGGCAATATTAGTAAACCCCCGAAATATGAATGATGAATACATACCCAGATCCACCTAATCCGTGAAGTGCGATCCGGCGGTGACCATTACCCTTGGAAAGCCTCTTTATCGATTCAATGAGATGTTCACGGCCAGTGAACTTGCTGTTTCTGCGATAAGGGATTATGCGATGAGGCCTAGATGCTTCTTCTAGTCGTACTAGCACATTAGATCTTTGCCAGAAATCTATCTGAAAAGCTGATAATACCTCTGTCCCCAGCTCTAAACACACACACTTGATATATCTGTCTGAGGTTGGTAACGTTGCTCAAGCTATTATTATTACTACCAAAAACATTATGATCCCCCGAATTCCCACTGAAGTCCCCGCTGATATTGGTTTGCATTTCTCTGCGAAGATTATCAGGCTGGTGCTAATTATTTCTGAGATCGCGTACGTTAAAGGGAGGGGGAGCCCACCGATCCACCAACGACACAAGTATTCAGACCACCGTAGGGCCGTTTTCGAAGGTCGGATAGGAAAGTAATAAGATGCCGCTAGCTCACCCGAAACGAGAAAGGTAGACTCTATTTCGCCAATTGAGGTTGTTCGAAATTCCTTCGCTAGCCTTGAAACAAGTCAATTCGGTGAGGATACGGCAGAAGTAGTCGAGGGCCCAACCTTGGATATGGAGATGAATGATTCCGTCGCTTTGAGGCAGCTGTGGGTTGTACTCCTCGCTCTGGCGACTCGAATTCAGTTATGCTGGAAGATTTGGCAAAAGGGCACTGAATGGGGAATTTATCAGAGCGATGGCCTCCCGGGGCGGTAACAAAAATTCAAATTCAGCCCACGAAATAAGTCGTACCCGAGCAGTTCAGGCTGCGGATAAGACCGAGATAAGCAAATAATAGGAGCTTGTCATACCAGATGTCCAGGGGTTTGGGAAATTTACTAGTACAGATAATTGGTTGGGATTTAGCCGCGGCACGGACAGTGTCTGTGATACGGTGCATGCTTCGCACACGGCAACCTCCAAGATGCAGATCATTTCCTACCAAATGGTGCTGATACGCGAATAGTACAAGTACTCGTACAAGTAGACCTGTTTGGAAGAGGCCTCGATAAAAGGCATCGAGGCCGGTACGTGCAGCCATGCGATTGCCCGCCCAATTCCACGATCGTATTACTACACAATCTTCTATCTTACGGCTAATCTCTGGACCTTCCCAAATCTGAGCTGTGGAGGGGAGGGCACGATGCTAGTAGTCGAGTCTTCACAAAACTCATTCGACCTGAAAATGTGCCGCAGCTACCTCTTTTTCCCTTCCAGAGACCCTGCATCTCATCAGCCCAAAATTCTTAGGCTGACATACCGCAGGCCAATTTTCTGCTGTATCAGTGTAGTAGCTGCAGTCATTACACATCACGAGGGAGTATACGGAGGTGCAGCTCCTACATTTTGCATATTTCACTAGCAAGGGATACCTAACGCAAATTTGGCCACGGATCGGGCAACTCTCCCTGAAATTACCCAATTCGCCCCCGATAACCCACGTAGCCGAGCACCCATTGCTAGTAGGATATTCAAAACTTAGCAGATATACCCCCATAGAACCCGTAATTCCAAAGCCTTCACATCTCATTACCAGTAATAAACCAACAGGGGAATTGTAAATGCAAAACTAAAGCTTAAAAGAGCGCCAGGCCCTTTCACTTCCCCTACGGAATACAGATTCCATGGAGCCTACCGCACGGAGTCAATACAGTATCATAGTCGGAAGATCGCAAGGATAGGCTATGGGTGGAGAGTATTCGCAGTGGTCAACCTTTTTTAACCACTAGGACCGGTTGGCAAAGCGCATTTACCACGAGTACCAGAGACCCAAGTAATGTTCCAGGGGAACCTTCGGTGATCGAACCTGCGGGGTGAGAAGGGGTAAGGGGCAGAGCGGGGGCTTCGGAAAATTTGGATTCAAGGAGAGAATTCATGTAAGCTTTGGTACTGTAAGAAAGAGTAGTAGGAAAGCGCTAAGTGAATTACCAAAACTTCCAGCTCAAGCGGTAAGCCTCATGGGCGAATTTGAACCCAACATGCCTAGTGTCCCTGGGGAACACTAGAAATGCTATGATAGAGGATCTCAAGATATTCGGGGGGGGGCTTGCGCCAAGGCTATGTGCTTTCGGAGAGACTAGCCAGCTAGCAGGAAAGCGCCCATGATACGTGTGGAATTCGCTTGTGTTGTACCATGTTTTCTCTTTTTTTGCAAGGCGCCTCTCGTAGACCCCCCCCCCCTCCCCCCCCGGTTCGAGAACACGAGTCCCAGCTTCGATCATCCTCTATGCACCCCCGCCCTTCATTGCAGTATTGACTCGAGTAGGAGTATCGGTATTGGGTGGCCTAGTTGCATCCGCCAGGCATGAAGCAAGGCGATTCCCGTATGATACTATCAGTACGAGCCTAGCAACAAAAGAAACGCACCCCCCCCCCCCTTTTTCCACACAAACACCAATTTTCAATATGCGCCTATCTAGCAGCGAAGAATGAGAAAAGTGCAACCCTCTTTTCGGAGAGTTTAACCTAGAGATTAGCATAGTTGAATCCCAGGCTACAGGAATTGTTTTACCAAAACTGAAAATTTAAGTTCTGAATGGGAGGCCAAAATCCACACCAAGACAGCCAATTTGTATGGGATTTTTCATAGCACCGGCCTAATCTGGTTTTTGAATTGGCATCAAAGACTTTTGAGAAAAAAATTGAAAAATTCATAAGCTCCTTATGGATTTCTATCACATCATCAGAGCTAGGGGGCCGGATTTGTTGTGGTTGCTGCTGGCAGCTAATTGAAAATTGATGTTTTGCATGGAAAGCGGGGGGGCCGCGTTTATTTTGTTGCCAGGTTCGGGCAAATAGTAGTTGGATATAGGCTTAAGAATCCCTAAGCCACATCATCATAATATTATAGTTTATCTATCACTCACGGAAGAAGCAAAAAAACTGTACTCGTGTATGATACAAGGAAAAACAAAACCGGTATCAAGAATTCGCCGACCGAGAAACACTAAGTGCGATAGAATGCTAACAGCAAGCAACCAGTATAATCCAGACCTTCTCACAATAATAGAACTATTTCCTCTCAATACACCAAACACCACCGGACTTTATAAACAGAAACTCCTAAATCCTTCCCCAACCATAAAAACAATCACCGTTGAGGCTCAGGCAGGGATGATGACTTGTATGTGTTCCCATCTTACGGGATTTCCTCCGCCCACAAAGGATCATGTCCAAGGGCAACTTCCCTGGGTATCATCCTTGCAAAAGAGGGAATGGGTTGCGGTGGACTCGATCAGGGGGATGTCTCCTCTGCCTCAAATGGGTTGGAGAGCTGAGGCCTTGTGAGACCGTAGCAGCACTATCACCCCGGCATGTTAACAGCTAGTGGCATATCACAACGGCGGTCGGCCGTTACTATCAGGCTTGTCGGGTTTGACCTCTTGCCGCCCAGGCAGCATCTTCACTACTCCCTCATGTCCGCAGCAAGCAGCAAACGGGAGCGGTGTTTCTATCTGGGACGTCGGGATTAACCTCTTCCCGTCCGAGTAGCATTTTCACCACTCCCTCATATCCATATCCAGCGGCAAACGAGAGCGGTGTTTGGCCACTATTACCTGGCTTGTCGAGGCTGACCTCCTCCCGCCTAAGGAGGATTTTCACCAGACCCTCATATCCCTTACGAGAAGCTCAAGAAAGTGGTGTATAACCCAAAAAATATCCTCCATTAATATCACAACACTCCATCTCTACCAAGGCAGCTACACTCTCAACAATTCCGAAGAACAATGCACAGTGTACTCCACTGAACGGAGAACAAGTGTCGTCTTTCCGAAGGTACAGATTCCTTACTTGCCATAAAAGAAATTTTCTGGATCTGTGGCCATAATGTCTCTAGGATAGCTTCAGCGCAAGTGATCTTGCGTAGTTCAAGAGTCCCCGTTTTGCATGTGCTCCCCAGCTTACAGAAAAATATCTCAGAAAGGACTTTCCCCAGGCGACACGGGAAGGGCCGGCCGGGAGGGACAGGCCGCAAGGGCCTTGACCTATTGGGAATCCAGACAAGTCAAGCAGATTGCTATTTTATTATACTAATCGTGCCAAGGTTGTGACTAAGCGTCACAACCCCTGGTTGCTCGCTCGCTCGCAACCTGGGCACTCCTCCAGAGTGCCTGCCAGCTCAACATGACTTTACAGCTCAACATGACCTGTGGCTCAACACAGCACTTTTTGTGGCTCAACACAACTTTTTATGTGACTCAACACAGTTCTTTGTGGCTCAACACCATTTTTTATATGGTTCAAAATTGTTGCTCAATATTACTTTGAGGCTTAATATAACTTTAAAGCTCAACTTTGTAACTACATATAGCCTTGTGGTCCTGGATAATCAAATACTGGTAAATTGATTTAATTTTAGAATTTAATACAATATTGTAGAATAAACAAACTGGATAGTTGAATATAGTCTTATAGTAGAATATTACTTTAAAGTAGAATAGAATAAATTGTATTAAGTTATAAAAAAAGTTGTGTTGAGCCACAA